TTTGCTTTTCTTCCTCTTCCTACTTGTGATGTTGTTGCATTTTCATGTGTTTAAACTTGTTATTTCTCTTTGCTGTTAACATTAAGCAGAATGGTGATGCATCATGCAGCTGAAATAAGCAGTATCTTCAGAGGAGGAGGTGAATCTTTTTCCAGTCCCCTAGTTCAGTCTCCAGTACCTTACTTGTCCTTATGCTGTAAAAGGTCCTGTTCTGAAAATTCTTGACCACAAGAGTTTATATGAGTGGTTCATTAGAGTTTGTCCTTAGACATCCTGGTATTACCTCCTGGAGTAAATGACCCAGGGAAGAAGAAGATACAGTGGTGGTAGGGCAGTGTTTTTTACTTCCCTTTCCTTCATGGCATATAATTACAAGTCACCTTTTCACACAGTTTCTTACTTCTTTGTGAGTAATTTGGAGACCTTGTGTATGAGCGGATCCTGGGACAGACTTTGAAGTCACTCCATGACAAGTGGACAAGTGTCCATATGTACCGACCTCAGATGTTCAGTCACCTCTTGTGACCAGGGTAGCTGGGAGTTTCACAAGCATTCCATTGTGAAATCAGGGAAGTACAAAGGCATGCACAAATTATATGCACATATTTGAGGGTAGTGTTGGAAAATCTGTCCTCCAATATCTTTTTGAATCATCCAGTGAAAGGACCCTGTGATTTTTGAGAGTTTTTAATAAAAGGCTAAATTTTATGAATCTCCAGTCTAAAGTCTGCTCATATAACTGATAGGCTTTTTTTTTTTTTTGCCTAAGAATTTCCCTTGCATATGCAGCAGAAAAACAAACAAACACAATTCTCTGTTATTTCCCTGAAAACCAGTCCTCTTTCCTAGCAAGATTAACTTGTCGACTAATCTTAGAGCAAACACTTTATTTTAATCTATCATTGTTTTCTGACTGTGGGTTTAGCAGAGGTCAGAAAAAGAGATTCATTAAAGTGATGGCGCATTTGTTTTTCCAAAAGCACATCAGAAGATTAATGCTTTGCCAAAGAAAATAAAGAAATATACTGTATTTCTTTTAATACACTTGAGCTAAATAAAGTCTTAAAATCACATGCCTTGGCCCAGATGGGGTGTTTGCAGCATAAGGTACAAGTCATATAATTTCTACTGTCTGAAAACTGCTTAAATGAACTCTCCTTCAGCCGTGCCATTTATTCCACACCTGAGGTGAAGTAACTCTGGTCCCTTCTCTGATGTAGAGCCATCAGTGAGCTGACTGCCAGTGTGTTTGTGCAAGTCTGTTTGCTTATATAAAGAACCCATTTAAGCTTCTCCACCCAAGAAATTCATGTTGATTTTGGATAATTCCTGGGCAATTTTATTCTGTAAAATAAATAAATAAATCTTCCAAACCTGTGACGTGGCCCAGCTCTCATGTATTTTGGACTATTAGAAGTGTAGCGTTTGTGTTGTGGAAACATGAACTGACACAAGGCATGGGCAATTTTACATTTGTCCAGAAGTAAAATAGGATGCATATTTCAATGTAGGGTTATGGGACGTTGGAGTTTCACCTGACAGGAGTGCGGGGTCAGTCAGTGATGGGGAGAGTTTTACCTGTGGATCTCCAGACCCCACACTGCACCCTCATCCTCCAGTGTGGCTTCTCTAGGAGTAGTGCCAATGGGATTTGGTTTGGCAACAAACCAGTATTTCAGAAGAAAAGAAAAAGTTGTATTAAACAGATGAAACAATTCTCTGGGGTCAGCATTGGCTGTCAGGACTCACTTTCAGTCTAAGAGAAGATTGTATGTGTATGTAACAGGCCAGTAAACGTGGGAATCTGCTCTGAGTGGTGCAGAGCAGGGCTGCACTGAGGATGCTTTGGCCCAGTGCAGTAGGATGGGTCTCTGTGATCATCATCAATCACAACTGACTCATCCAACTGAAAAGTACTTCTGCAAGCTCTGCTCTCTCCTGCTCCCTTAAGGAAACACTAGTGCATGGGCTTGAGGTGAGTATGTTCAAGTCCTAAACCGAAGTCTGGGCAAATGTGAGGAGGAAAAAGCCCTTATTTTCACTCTACTCTTAATCCTCTCCTGTATCCTTCCTCAGGGTTCTTGCTTTGGCAACAAAACTGATTCTGAATAGGCACATTTCTGCTGAAATCAGTAACAGCTATGAATATATTGCCCTGAATCTCTCTACACTGCTGCTTATTAGGTAACCAAATATTAAATTAGTTATCTAGTGTCTTAATAACTAAAATAATTAACTGTGTTTGTTTAACATAGTTATCTACCTTAACTCGGAAAATGTTGAGACTGGGCTAGACTGCTGTGTTGTTTATTAATTGCATTGCAGTCATGTTCAGCATCTGTTCTAGCAGATACTGAATTTGTGTATTGAAAAGCAGCCGTTTATCTCATGAGATTGAACAGTACAAATAAAAATTTGTTTTGTTTCCTGCTTGGTTTCTGGGGTCTTGTGAACCATGAGAAGTTCTCTAGAAGATTTATACACCTACTTTACCTCCTTTTCCCTTGCTCTTACCTGGAAATAAGATGAAATTGTTGTAAAATCACTTATTTTCAAGAATTAAAGCTATGAGTGGAATCTCAAACATTAAAAGATGTGCTGATAAATCACTGGAGATGGCAGTGCCCAGCTAAAGCGGTATGGAAATGATAGCAAATGTTTATAATGGAAAATTAACCTATTCAACCCAACACAGAGTAATACATAGATATGCAACATAACATACTCTTTCACTTGTTGCTATATCCAGTGGGCCATTGTATTTCTAGTATTCTGTGTTTTACATGTGTTGTATATACCCTTAATTAGACTTGCGATGTAGACAGCCCACTCCTGCATGAGGTTAAACTGCTGTGTAAATAAATGAATAAAAAGTAGGAAAGACAGCTTTTGCTAAAAAAAGAAACTAAATTTAAAAACAATGTTTTGGCCTTAGGCTTTTATTTAGGGTTTTGGGAAACAGAACAAGCTATTTGTTTTCCGTTACTTGTAGAAAGCCTAATAGGCAAAGTATTACTTCTCATCTAATTTTGCATTCCTTGAGTGTGTTTTAGTAAGCCGCTTTTTCATTTAGAGTAAACTACTATAAATTATTTGGGATATGATCATTAGTAGTTTTAGTAGAAATATTAGTTTAACTGAAGAACTTCTTTGTCGTGACTTCTGTGTAATAGTTTCAGCTAAGAAAAAAGGCATCAGAACACATGCATTAGCAATTACTTTCCTTCAAAAGGTTATGTTTCATATAGATGATCAAAAAGGCAATATAGTGCCAGCTCAGGCTACCAATTAATACTGTCACTGTCAACCCCCGATAACTTCACTACAATAGCTTTAGTAATTTTTATCATGTGAGGTTACTGACCAATTGCCATCAAATTTACCACATGCATGTTAAGAAAACAGTCCGCCTTTATAGTTTGATGGACTATGTTCACAGACAGAGGCAGAAAGGCTTCTCTAACCTCTTTCTCCAAGCAATCACAAAACCAACTACATCTGAAATGGACCTATACTGCTAGCTTTCTCTTACAAGTAGTTTCTCAGTGCCTTTCAGTGTCTTTAGCGTATGTATCTTCACAGTGTCTCTGTCTGGTGGATACTTTCTTCCACATCTATTTTTTACATAGGGAACTGATGCAGAGGACATCAAAAGAAACCAAGTGGGAAGTTAAACACCTCACTGTTGGTGGGCTGGTTAGAGTTGTGTGTTAACTACCTCTGGTAGCTGCTCCTGAATTGTCAGAGGTGGGTGACTTTTGCCAGGAACCTGTATGCTGCCTGTAGTACCGTGGCTCAGTAGTGAGCTAGTCCCAGCCATGTGACTGAACCTTGCTGCAAGGAGATTTGGCTTATTCCAGACTAAAGCTGTATTTCAAGTCAACACGTTAAAAGATCAGGGGTTTAAACTGGAGTATGAGATAATAGCATGGATTTAAGAGATTAAGTGATATTAATACCAGTACATCTCTTTCAGATAAGCTATAGGCATACATTCCTTCATGCTTTCTGCCTCTCTTCTTTCTTTTGTTTTTTTTTCAGGCTTTCTTCTTACAGTCTTTTCCATCAAGTAGTCCAGCTTAATTTGGAGTGGTGTATCTTTAATATAGCTTTTAGTATAGTGGTAGAGCACTTTTCTAGCAGATGAAAAAGCTGTAAATGCCCTTAGATTGGAGAACTTGAGAGCCATGTTACCCACTTCTTGATCAAGAGTTAAAAATGCCCAAATTACTGTAAATTGTTACAGGCACCAGATAATCCTTGTCTTGTTGACTGGCCAGGAAGCGAGTAGTGAAGTCCCTATCGTGATTGCTCAAGCTTCTGTAGGAGGTCCCTGGCAAAACAGGAATGAAATTGCACGATGAAATAGAACCGTGAAGCTCTAACCTTATCTTCCTCTTTGTAGCTGGATTGACAACAAGAACCTGCATAAACAGGGGTAGTTTATGTAAGTGCTAGTGCTCCGTGTGTTGGCACAATATGTATTTCATATTTTTCCTCATACCGTGGGACTTTTTTCTGCATCTTTATTTTGAGACAGGAGATTTTGGGTATCTGAAGGTTCTTGGTGCTTGATAACATGTAGGATAGCTTGTCTTGAGTGAAGGGACTCTTGTTCCTGGGAAGGATTGCTATTATACGTCCTGATCTCTTAATGAAAAGTTGGATTGATTTAAGCTGATCCAATGCCTTGAGTTTGGTCTCGTTCTGAATGAAGGGGAACACAGCGCTAGATGATGTGCCATGAAGCTCCATGTGTTTCCGTATCCTTCCCTGGTTCCCCAGCTACATGTAAGGCTTCACATCCTGTGCATGTGATTCATAAGTCTGTATTTACCAGTTGTGGTAACTTAAAATTAAATTTTTAAGTTTGTTTGTTCTTTTTTTTTAATTAATAAGTTTAATTATTTCAGAGTTTTCCAAAGAAGTGGAAAAAAAAACATGAGATACTTGAAATTTCTGTCATTAAAACAAAGGACTTTTTTTCTTCTATGTTTCAGACACAGATATTAAGGAGCTAGAGGATGTTTTTGGACTTAGCGGACAAGTAGAGCATAAGCTGAACTTCCTCAAAAAGAATGTATCAAAAGATATAAAGCTGGTACTGATTGCTCATTCTATTGGTTGCTACATCACACTGGAGATGATGAAGCGAGCATCAGAACTTCAGGTACATTAACCTTGTAGAATGGGAGTTACATTATTAGCAAAGCAGTGCACATGCTTAGCCTACGGGTAATATCATGTCTTTCCTGTGGAAGCTATATTCTGCTATCCACAAACTTTCAATCCTAGTTCTCATTAAAATGAAATAAAAACATTGTTTGACTAATCCCAACAATATATAATAAAGTAGTTTGATGTAAAATAAAGTTCCTGCTCTGAATTTGGACCTTTAAATGCTTTCATAAGATAAATTGTTAATAATGATGATAAATATCTTTAGGGCTTTGTTGTTGTCTTCTCATCTTTAAATGATTTATAAACAGTTCACTAGATTTTGGGCCATTATGTTACTAAACCAAAAATTAAGAGTGGTTATGATTTTAACAGCAGCTTCTTATCTCAAGGCAAGTAGATTGATGGCTATACATGGGGAAGTGTATGGGAAAGAATGGAAATATAAATTGTGATGAGTACTACTATGAAGGACACTGTTTTTAAAATTGAATACATAATGCATATGTATCATTGCTTCTGTGACTCAGTCTTGGTTTGTGTAACTCAGAGTGAGAGGTGTTGCTGCATGTTCTTGTGCATCTGAATATTTTCCTTTGTCTCTATGAAGCAATAAGAAGGCTGAGGTAGGACCATGTCCTTACAAATTTGGAAATGCCAAACCGTTAGTACTCAGTAATAGCTCACTCTGCTAGTGGATAATGAATGAAGAATACTGAATTTTTACTCTTAAGCATTCACTCTTGCTAAATCATTGCCTCTTCCTTTACATTATAAAATCTTCAGTGGAAAGAAGTGTAGTGTTAAGAGTAAAGTGTGTTTTTAATATATGCATGCGTGGGTTCTTGCACTTCTTCATAACCATTGCCATCTAACTTTTTTTCTCCTTTAAAGGAAACAGCAACTAAAAATGTGAAACATAAGGTTAACTTAATATATTTCCACAGGCATATTTCACTTTTTAATCATAAACAAGGGCATTTTTTGAGAGAGAACTTTTATTACTGTTTTATCTTTTCAAGAGGGAGTGTTCTAGAAAGTATCATATGCAGTAATTTGTCCAAAAATATCAACTTTTCTTTGGTCAACATCTGTACAGTCTTTATTACACAAATTATTTTATCTGTTTTCAATTAAACTATGAATTGTTGAGTAATTTTTTTACACCTGGCTCACTAGATACTGGCAGCTTGCTGTTCATCAATGTTTTGAAATGTAGGTATCTTTGGGACACTCTTAGACTGCATGGTGCACTGTGTGCATGAAGTTAATCTATGACAAGTTACATTTAAGATGCATTTAACAATAGAAAATATTTGTGTAAGCCAGAGCATTGTGCAACCTTTGTCCCTTTGCCAAAAATAAGTTAACTGTTAGGTTTTATAACATATGAAGTGTGATAATAAGAAACTTGTGTTTCCATCTCTCCCTTTATTTTTACTGGCATATTTGATTCCCACAAGATTTTGAGCACATATGTGTATTTTAGTAGCTAGATCATTTGGTTTTATTTTTGTGTAGTTCTTATGTGATATTCTTTTATTACATTAGTTTTGGTTTTGGTCTTAAATTCTCTGCTTTAAGAGCCTTTGATTGCTTACAGTTTATTATTCTGAGCTAGAGGTTAATGTGTTGTATTTATTGTTCAAATAATTCAGTAAATGTTTATATTTGGAGTGTATGTTTAGCAGATTTGATTTTTGTTACCCAATTTAAAGCTCTTTCATAATCTAACTCTTGTGGAGTGATGAGGGAAGCTGATGAACTTGAGCTAGCATGCATGAGAAGGAGAATGTACTATCTCCTTATCTCTCCTTCTTTGTTGCTCTTCAGCTCTTGGTTTTGAATGATGCTAATTTCTTGGGCCCTTGTGCTCTGCAAGTTAATGGGGTACTGTGAAATTTTTTCTTAAACTTCTGTGAAATAATGCTTTCTTGAGAGAAATGAAGCAGAAATTGCCAGTTTACCCCAGGATAAATTCAGTTTTGGACCCCATCCCTGTTTTCCTGTTGACTCTCACGAAGGCTTCTCTTAACGGTTTCTTAAGGAGACCCCTTAACACAACCCGGGTCTTAGGTTGATGCCTTCAACTAAGTCTGATTAGTAGAGAAGGGCCACAAAGGTTACATCCATACTTGTAACTAGGTAAGGCTACTGCGTGGATTTGAGTACTGGGCCAGCTATGCAGTGACATTTTTGGACTAGTCTTTAAGAGGCTTTTTGGCCTGAAGCAGCCAGCAGCTCCCAGACAGCACCCTGGCATGGTTCTGGGCTTGGCAGAGGCCCAGGACTATTCCCAGTAGTTAGTTTGGGTGCAGGCATCCTGTTTTGAGGCAGGGGAAGATTCAGTAATGGGGACACAGACCATCCCATGCCATCAACAGGAGCAGGGAACAGTTCCTGGCCAGTATGTTTGCTGGTACACATATAACTGTGAACACTTCTTGGTTGTTGTGGTGGGCATCAAATCTTGACAAGATTCACCTCTTCATGGGACATAGAGCATCCAGAGTTCGTCAGACTGCTAGAAGATTTTGACACTGGGAAGGAAAAATGTTAATCAGCCGTAGTCTATGAAGATGGAAAAGCGCGATAATATACAGCTTGATACTTGGTCTTAACCTCATAATCTTCTTCGCTCTTCATTCAGCCAGCAGAACTGAAAAATGAAACTGAATGACAAAATTATTTTCTCATTTGTTGGAGCTTGAGTCTAACTCATAAATATGCTACATCCTTCAGGCATTGTCTTCTAAAGTACAAATCCTTACTTGGAGGATTTCCTTGTCCTTTGCTGCACGACACTGCTGAGTGTTCCCTAAAACACTCTGTTTGATCATTAATGTAATCAAAAGATTGACACATTTCCTTGCAAATGAAATTCAGTGTGTTACAGCATTAGTCCTTCATTTGCAATGATGCTTTTGAAGTGCCAGCACCTTTGTGGTAATAAATTAAAACTTACTAATAAGTGAAACTACCATACAGTATAAGCATTGCCCTTCCTGTAAAACTCATGGAGGAGGAAGAGTTTAAAACCTCTAAATATGTATCAGTTTAAGCAAATAAAATTTCAGTAATATCTAATTCAAAACCATGCAATGCTACTGTGTCTCAATGTGCAAAATAATGTTGGGTATTTCTAGAATGTGGTTGATTTCATAAATAATAGCTAACAAAACACAAGTGAGAATAATTGTGTATGAAACAAGTTCATACCTTGGAAACTGTGTCACATAATTTCTGTGCACACATTAGTGTGAGTCTGCCTTACCTTTCCTTCACTATGTTCTCCTCCAAACAGAAAGCTCTTGGTCTGTACTTTCTTTGGAGAATTCTGATGAGCACAACAAAAAAACACAGTTCACATTTAATGATTTCACAAATTTATACAGTAGCATAACTGTGTTTTCGTGTTTTTTCTTTTGTCTATATACAAATTGCATTCAGGTCTTTCACTTGAGGAGCTACAACTTGTTCAGGATCTGGTAATGTATGTAGCTTAGAAGATTTCTGCAATGTGTCTTACTCTTCATAAATCAGTACTGACTTTTACCCATCAGGAGGCTGTCCACTAACCATGCTTTCTTGAGTTAATCAAACATTCTTCATTGCTGACTATTCTAAATTATTTTATGATGTGTAAAGTGTTGGTGCTATTCATTCCCTTTTATAAATAAATTAAACATGCCTAACAGAAGGTACTGGGCATTTTTTGTTAACCTTTTGGATTACTGAAATTGGCTGTATATCCCTGCTGTTGGGTTTCTGTCTGTTTAGCCAGTTTCTAATCCGTAGAAAAATGTTTCTCTCACCCTTTATTAGTATTATTAGTAGTCACAGTGATTAAATGACCTCAATGGGAAGCATTTTGTTGGAGCCTGTTGTATATAGATATTTTAGATGGTGCTCCTATATGTGCATGTCCTTTATTTCTTTCTTCTTTTTTAAATTTTTAAAAATATTTAGTTAAAAACATGGAGGGGCTTTCATCTATAAAACATTATTGTTGTTACTTCTGATGTTAGAAAAAGCCAGAAATATATTTTAGCATTCTTTTTTAAATTTAGCTGATAAAAGATTAGTCTTCTGTCATTCCAAAGTTTCTGGTTTTGCATTGTAATAGGGTCTTTTATTACCCTTGGTGCTCCCCTAAATCACACCTTTAGTGTGACATATGTAGTCCTCATTTTGAGGTTTCATACTTGAACCAAAAGGTGACATTCCATCTGTTGTGAACAGCTTGCTTGGAAACATTGATGGCCTACAGGTACACAACAGAATGACAGATGTCGTGACTCGGTTAGCTTTTCTTTTTGTTCTGTTTAGAAATCTGCTTCTTCCTAATTACCTGCAGCCCTTTGCAACACGTCTTAGTGGGAGGAAACATCTCTGCACATGGCCCTTCTGACAAAGACATTGATTGGGATATGAAATTTCAGAAACACTCTTCTCTTTACTGTCTCTTGGCCAGGGAGTTTCTTTTTTTCAGTGTGTGTGAGAAATTACCTGTGTATATAGAAGTAGTTTGTTTTGAAAGAAGCTTTAGTGAAACAGTGAAAAATGGCAATAGTTTTGATTGCAATGTATCTTTGTATGCAACAAAAAATGCAATAAATAATTACTCACAGAAGAAATGAAAGAAATCTCTCTTAACAATGTGTGAACGTCTGTCCAGAAATCTTTGCATGTCTTTGCCGTAAGGCAGGATATGAAGTTTAAAGCAAATTAGCTATTCCTGAATAAGTCATGTAAAACATTCTGATTCTAAACCAAATGTAATTTTCTGATATAACTTAATCTGTTTTCAAAATAACTTAAGACAATGTTTTTGAATGTGTTCTAGATTCATTCTGGACAAGACTGTTCACACCTGAAGTTACTCAGGAATATTTCCGTGTTTAGATATTCTTTACTCAGGCTTTAATTTACCAAGTCTGTTGGTCAACATCAGTTCCGTAAGTTACCAAAGCTTTCCCAAAGTTTACTGGC